GAAAAGGATAGTTACCAAGGCGCTGCCATCAAGACAGCAGATTCACTTTTATCTGTGAGTAATCAATAAGCAGTTTAATCCTAGAAACAAAATTATAATTAATTATTAAAATGCTTAGGACCTGAAAAGCAAAGTTATGGATGACCTGGACTTTCACATAATTTGCAACTTTGTATTATTGGCCAAAAGGACTAAAAATGAAGCGGATTTAGCACTCAATGAATTTATGAAACTATTAAACGATGACAGATATGTAGGAGCTTTTGTTTTGTAATTCATTTATAGAATTCATGATACGATTGTCTAATAATAGAGAGATAATGTGGCGGCAATTCTGGGGGTCGCCACAGCTTTCATGATAATAAAGCAAACACCAAAAGCCAGGAATCACTTGAAAAGAGTGGCTAAAAATAGTTGGAATTTTCAAGTGAGATATATTGAGATGTATAGCGAAAATAAACTCAAATTTAATTATAAATTGAAAGGAAGCGGAATATCTGGAGAAATGTTGGCTCCTGTTGGCTGACATCTACACCCAATCGGGTAAATACGATATGGCTATTGAACTCCTGAAGAAAGTGTTGCTCTATAATAAAGTAAGCCTCAAAAATGTGATATCATTGCCGCTAAAGTCTAATGACTTTTAATATTCCGACAATATTTCACATAATACTCATGATATTCGTTGACATTACTGCACATTGCAGTCATGTATGAAAGCGTATGAATACTTGGGTTACATAATGGAAAAGGAGCAGAGCTATAGGGATGCCGCACAGAATTACGACCTGGCCTGGAAGTTCACCAATTGCAATAACCCCAGCATTGGCTACAAACTGGCCTTCAACTACATGAAAGCCAAGCGACACGTCGACGCCATCGACGTCTGCAAAGAGATTTTGACCAAATTTCCCGATTATCCTAAAGTGAGGAAAGAGATTCTCGACAAATGCAGGAATTCACTCAAAATGTGAGACAATTATTCTGTGAGACAATTATTCTGGCGGTTATTCTCGAGCCATGCACTCAATCATTGAATTTAATTGTTTTGTAATAATAAATAATGTTTCGGTTATGAATAAACAATCGTAAAAGAAAATTGTGTGTTTTATCTCAAAGGCGCCTATTATTCAAATTAGTTATCATAATATGAAACGCTTTTAAACAATATTTCGCACGCATTCGCTCAGTGTTTGAAAAAATAGATTATTTAAATATTTATTTAATTGAAATTCTTGTCCTTAAAATAGCTCTTTATTGACCTCATCTTATAGGTAGTTATTTATAACTAAATATTTTGTTATTAATTAGCGTTGACGTTCATTAACAGTAAACTTTGAAAGGAATTTCAGTTTGAATACAAACACTAACAATGGATTTGACGACTATTTTAGTAATTTGCGTAACAGTTGTGTTGATCGTTATATTGTCGATATATATGGTTTGCTGTTGTTTTACGAGTAGGAAGAGGTCATCGTCTGTCGGTTCACTTAACCATAATCACAATACCGGCCAAAA